GTCTGACTCATTTTTGTACGGAGTTGGCAACTACCAAAACCCTAAAAAAGGAACAGACCACATCATATTACTAAAGGTCCTTTGCCTTTTCCATACTAGCATGGAACGGTGAAGGAGTTGTTACGATCCTGACCGATCTCGAATAAGGCAGCAAAAAGCAGATTATTTCAATTAAGTCTGAACCCTCCAGCCAATGCCGTTCTTTACAAGTGCGGTCTCTGGGTTTCCCATTCCTATCTGCTATCTATCTTCCAAATTTCTATCTTCCAATTTTCCCCCCTAAATTTCCAGGAAATGATACTATCTTTACAGAAAATATAACCTAGGGAATGGCAAGGACATTAGTGTGTCTTCTAAGAGGGTGTTTGGGATTAACCTTTTTAAGAGAAGTCCAGAGATGAAAGCTGCTTATTTGAGCAAGATGCTTTGGCATCGCTAGCTAGAAGATACCAAAGTAGCATAAATCAAAGCATGATCCCCATGAAAAAAAAAAAAAAAAAAAAAAAAAAAAAGAGGAGGGTTTGTTTGTTTGCTCCCCTACTGACATTTCAGAACAGTGCTTCCAAAAAAAAGCTTCCATCGCCAGGTTAAAAGTCAAGGAAACTCCAGTTCTTACCTATGTGTTTTCATGTTTTATGTTCATAAGGATGTAAGGACTTGCTCTTCTGGATCAGGGCTTTAGTCTCTGAAGAGTTACATCTCTGCAACACGATGTTTCACAAATGTTTCACAACAGAAAAAACAACTAGGGAAAAGACAGGATTCTAGCATCTTCAGAAGGTTTCACACATCAAAACAGCCTTAAAATTATCCCTTGCGCAATGGTACAAATCTTCAAATTTACTTAAAACACCATGGCAGACAGAGACGCAGTTTTCCGTTTGTTTGCTCTTTAATGAACTCCCCGCACTCTGACCACTGTACACCTGATATTCTTGTCAAAGTCAACTACCCTTGACTCCTTTATCCAGGTATTCCTCAATTGCGGTTCCCAAGAAGCACAAGGGATTCAAGTGGAATTCCCACATCAGGGTTATGGACACAGGGGCTTGCTGGGTAATCAAAAGTCAAGGCTCTGGAAGGAAGTGAACAAGCACTGAGCAAACTACCACGTCTAACACACACGCGCACACACAAGTTATGCTGGGGTCCAGCTGCGTATCCAGACCTGTCTCATCTCGCAGTGGACTGTCAACACACTCGGAGGGTCGCTGTCACTGCCTGCCCCGGTGTCATTCCTATGGCTCTTTCTCTTTCCATTAGACTAAGATACGCGATATGTGTCTTGCCGCACTTCAGACGGAGGAAGATTTGATACACAGCTCACAGGATCAGAAAGGCAGGCCAGAACTCTAGAGTTTTTAGGTCTAGGAACTGCAACTCCAGATGCAGAGGGTAAACTATCTATTGTGAGCTGTCTTTGAACAGCTGACCCAGATAAACTAACAAAACCAGAGACCCTTCCTGCTTGTACTTTAGGATAAAAATCATTCAGCTACCATTATTGCTCTACAGTATTTTACTGTTACACTTTCTAATGAGAGAGAGCAAGAAACTGTCCAGAGAAAGATCATATCTCAAACGCTGAAAGAAAATAATATATTAGTGAATGAACTGTCAAAAAATCATTTATGTAAAAGCATGTTCTATTTACAAAGGTCAACTTGCTCTTTAGGACAAGTAAAACCACTACTGGAAAAAATATACATATAGAAACGCCTCATCTTTCAAATAGACATTTACAAATACTCTGCTTAAACTACTAGAAACATTAAGACATTTGAAATTAAGGGTGTGTTCTGCATGCAGTTAGGATAGAAATTACATTATTGGACTTCAGTGTGTCATTTCTTATTGTCAGCGACACACTCGTAGGCTCTTCTAAAACACCACAGCCTGGCTATTACCTTAGGATCTCAAAAGGAGGACATGGATCTTCATTAACAAGTTATCAGTTACTCTTCATTTTGCCATTAAAAAAGGACATCCCGATTGTCTTCTCAGCAGGAGAGTCTGGTCTTGTCAAACTTGGCGTCCTTTTCCCTGAGTTTCCCTTTAGTGTTTTGCTAGGCATGATGATCGTTGGCTTGGTATATTTACAAGTCCTTGGTCAGCACTCTTCCCATTATAAGGCAGAGTTCAGAAATTCAAGGAGTTCTGCACGGTTCCGGTCTCTCTGTAGAGCAGAAAAGCAGAGGCAGCGGTTTAACAGACCTGTACTCAGTGGACCAAGGCCGCGTAACCCTGCTTTCCGTGGGGCTTTCACATCTCGGGCTGCATAACCCTGCTTTCCGTGGGGCTGTCGCACCTCAGCACGCTGCACAACAAACGCTACCACAGTCAAACAGCTGGCTATGACTAGCTACCAGTTAGGTGTGAGCGCCTGGAGGAAGTGCAAGGCAGGGGGTACTCATCAGGAGAGATGCTGTAGGAGACAAGCTGTCACTGTCACTATTTCATGATACGTTTTTTAAGTGGCTCCCCACGGAGGCTCCACTGGGTTGTCATCACGTAGCTCACAGCCTGCTCAGGAGGGAACTCACAAGCAGAACAGAGGCAATTCTCTGGTGTCTGAGGCAACTTTCACTGTACAGACAGCAAGTCTTGTGCTTTGGGAAGTATCATTTTTTCTCTGCATAAGCAGCAGCTTGCAGTATAACAGAAAGGGAACCATGAATTTAGGTTCGTTCTTTACATAAAAGATGGGCCAAACAGCCAAAACACTTGTTTCCAGTGTTTTTAAAATGACAATTTATAAAACAATTATTGAATCTTAAAATACTGTGAAGAATGGATGTTGTTCAATTCAGCATTTTCATGACCACGGACACCAATCAATCAAAAAAGGACGAGCATAAAATATTTGACACCAAATATTGTAACAAGCAGGTTACTGGGATGAGGCTAGCAAGCATTCAGCATAATTTAACACAAACTTCAGTGCCACAGAAAGAAGATAACGTATTTTTCATCAAATTTAACTTGGAATGCTCAGGTCTGCTTTGGCAGCTATAGAATGACCTGTTACAGCTGAATCAGAATCCACCAAACTGAATACCTCAGCCAAGTAACACTTTTAACACATACTGACTAGTACCAGAAGCCCCCTTCAGATCGCTCTACGGTGTGGAAACTGCTGAAAAGAGTGAAGATATTAGAAGTGCTGAGTCCAAACAACCATAGCAATACCACAAAATGCTATTCATGGTATCTATTTCCCTGGGTATTTCAGCAAAAACATTTGACTGCTTTGAGAGAATGCATGAGCACGTAGTCCTAATACTACTGTTGTCTTTTTTTAGTTCCTCTCTAAATAATGGCTAGCCTTGCATGCATTAGAAAAACACAGTAAAGCAGAAATTACCACAACTGATCACAAGAGACTGGAAGAAGATGAGGACAATTAAAAACAGTGCAAATTAAATCCACAGAGAAAGCCACAAATCAGCTAAACATTACAGACTGGAATTCTAAGAACCTGCACAAGCATCCTTTGGTTTATCTACTCATGCCCGAGTATTCCAAGCCATACCATACTCATACCATAAAACCTGCCAAAAGAATGAATTAAAATTTCTCAGATGGCATCATAGCCACATTAAAAGCTACACTCAATTTACAACTCCTAACTGTAAGATCTACTCTTCTACAAAAGACTACTATTAGAAAAATATTAAAAGATACAGTATTTTCCCTTAGGGATATATAGACTATTTTAACTCTTACCTCTTTATCCTTCTTAGTCTTCTTTATTCTCATCTTAATTTTCTTTCCGGTTATCATGCTGTAGTTTTCATTCTTCTTTTTGTTTTTAAAGAACTAAAATGAGATCACACATTAGAAAGACAGAAGCTCTGCTTTATTTTGTGATGTTACAAATCTTAAATAAAATGACAGACAATAATCTTTTCTACTTCCTAACTGTCACACAAGCATACCTTGGAAAGCTGGACAGGTCCTGTTTTCTCTCTCTTTTTCTTCTTTTCTTTCTTTTTCTTCATTTTGTTCTCTTTTTTCCTTTTCTACAAGCATAAGACATATACTCTTATGCTTACAGACTCACAAGGACAAAAAAAGGAAATCCACAAGTAGCTCTCCACGCCTGGGCTAGTCAAGAGAGCCACTACTGCTTGCCCTTGCCACTGCTGAATAGGAACTATCTGAAGTACACAGACAGTAATGCAGCAGGGTTAGCAACCTCTGAGATCTTGAGAAATAGAAATGGGCTGATGCCCTATTCCCTCTCTTTTAATGTAACCCCAATATATAAAAATCACTGAACAGAAGGTCCTAATAAAATGAAAAACTACAACAGCAGAATCTACTGCTCTCTCACTGACTATAAATCGTTTCTTCTGACAAATTCCATGAAGTCATCAAGATTCCCCACTTCTTTTCTTCAGGAACTACTCTAAACTCTAGCTGGACCAGCAATGACTGGCAAAAGGAACCTTTAAATTATTTCTCCTTTAGTATACAGTCAAGTATATGCCAGCCTATCGGCTCACCTACTGTAACCCTAAAAGCATGATTCAGATTTCATAGAATCATAGAATGGGTTGGGATGGAAGGGACCTTTAAAGGTCATCTAGTCCATCCCCCCTGCAACTGGCAGGGACATCTACAACCAGATCAGGTTGCTCAGAGCCCCGTCCAGCCTGGCCTTGAATGTTTCCAAGGATGGGGCACCTACCACCTCTCTGGGCAACCTGTGCCAGTGTTTCACCACCCTCGTCCTGAAAATTTTTTTCCTTGTGTTTAGTCTAAATTTACCCTCCTTTAGTTTAAAACCATTAGCCCTTGTCCTGTCGCAGCAGGTCTTGCTAAAAAGACTATCCCCATCTTTCTTGTAGGCCCCCTTTAAGCATTGAAAGGCTGCAATAAGGTCTCCAAATATTTACATAGCCACAGGCAATAGCACTACATCTTACATGACACTTAAGGTTCTTGAAATATGAAGAACTATTTTCTGTTTGTTAACTACTTATTTCTCTTTGTAAAGGTTTACCTTTTTGTTGTGTTTTTCTTTTTTCTTTTTCTTTGATTTAGACTTAGGAGAATCTAAAATTAAAAAACAAAACAAAATTAAACCTTGTAGTTTAGCATTCTGAAAAAGGCATTTGGTTTTACAGATAAGGCCTAGAGAAATGTAAAACATAAGAAGAGAATGCTTTAATTCAGCTATATATATTAACACTGGTCGGAACTAAGCCTGAGAAAAGCAACACATGAACTTACTGCCACCTGCTGGTCTAACATGGAAACTGAAAATACCTGATTTACTCAGTGATTATTTCTACCAGTATATTATATTAACAGAGACAATACCTCTCTCTTTCTGCAGCTGTGCTCAACAGATTGCAAATATGTTTTATAGCCAGGGATCCTGACTCTCAAAGGAGGCAACAAAGAGTACTGTTGGGGCTGACAAACCACTGAAAATATTATCACTGTTCAAGGCAAATGAAAAAACTTTTCATACTTACTCAGCTCACCTTCCAACTTCAAGGTTTTTAGTAAATTTTGTAAAGCAGAAACTCACAAGTTCTATAAGCCAATCATAGATTTTAAAGATTACACTGTGACTGGTATGTGAGGAAGTCATTTTGAAGCTTTGACTGTGGGACTGTAAACCTAGAGAGACTGTGAAAGAGCTTACTAGTCTTCCAACAGACTGCCTTCAAGCTATCCGTTCTGCAGTTTCTTTACAATAAATTCCAAGCAAAAGATAACATTATAGGAATGCACCAGAGCAGAGCCAGACTCAAAAGTTAGAAAAGTCTAAGGTAAGGCTGCCCAAACAATCTTCTTTTGGCCTCCTAATGACAAAGGCAGCACAAGCATGTCAGAAAAAATGATGAAAATCGTAATTCTGTCACCACGTTCAGTCTCTTGGTAACAACGGACTGGATTAAGCGCCCACAGGGCATGGTACACCTGGCCAGAGGGCTTTTACAAATGTTTGCCAACATCAGGAAAGGGGTACATTCAAGAACATTGGGCTTCCTTCCAGACTCTGAAAATCAGTACACTATGGTGAACAGACACTTGCCCGGTTTTATCCCTTTGCCCACATCTCTTCCAGACGCAGTTTTTATGTCTCACCATCCTAACCACAGTTCTCGTGACCACAAACCCCAGAAGAACTTCTCTAGACTTCTGCACTCACCTGTTGACTTCCTAGGCTAAGCCAGGCCACCTTTTCCTCCTGTTCACTCTTTCTGAGTTGCCATCCCTCACCATCCGGCCTCCGCACTAGCTCCATCTGTTTCCATACTCAGCCACCCCACCTCCCTAGTTCTAGCACTGATTTGCCTGCTTGTCTCCTGCCTGAGGGGAAACCCCTTCCCAGCTCCACCTAACAAGCTGCATTCCCAGTTTCGGTATCCGGATGTCTCCTTTTCCACAGCAAAGTGCATCCTTTTTGCATTCAAGTTAGCTTCATTTTCCATATAACCGATGTTACCAGCAAGGTTGGAGAAGGTGGGTGGGGCATACAGCTCAAGAGAGCAGGATACACTTTCCCCCCCGCTCTCTTCTCGGCTTTCCCAGCCACTGCCCAGTGTCTAACACCCAGAGTTACAGCTGCACTTGCTAAATAAGAAAAGAGAAACATAGATAAATTAAATGCTGGAAGAAATCTCCATTTTGCTATCCGAAGGAATGTTAGCTCCACTCCTGCTATACCCAATACAAGACTGGGGCAACCTTCGTCATTCAAGGTCTTTAACTGCAAGTTAGGCAAGCTATTCCGCTGTTCTGCTGCTAGGATGTATTTTTACTAGATCTAATTCAAATCGCTCCTGTTACAATTTAAGGTCATTATTTCTTGCTCTGAAAGTCACAGAACAATTTTTCACTCCCTCTCCATAGTGGCAATGACCTACACCTGTGTTATCTGTCAGCTCAATTACCTCACGTCTTTTCTTGTCTAGATGGAGTAAATAGAGTTGTTTAAACATGCCCTTGTAGGACATTTTTGCTAAATCATCTGCTCTCCCCTGTGAATGGGAAAACGAAGGGAATTTTTAGCTGTAAAGTTTTAGCAAATGTCTGAGCGTGCAGACTGACAACTTGAGCCTAATTCAGAATGTTTTTTTTCCTCAGATACATGTTTCTTGACATCCCTCCAAAAGCTGAACAAGAGAGCATGCCAAGCGTGTTCACACAGTCAGTGTCTGACATGACATTTCGATTCTTTTTAGAAGTTCACATGGGATAAAATTCATTCAAGAAGAAAGACCTCCCCCCATCAAATGTACAAGTTCATAGATTTGAATATTTTCAGAATTTATTTATGTCAGATACATTGAATCAAGCCACCGAAGTAGGAGAACAAGTAATATTTCCATACAGATGTAAATCTGCTTCAAGAGAAGCAGAACTAAGTCTTTGTTAAACTGTGGAATACACAGTCACAAATAGGAGGTCCTGTACCAGATGGGGAAGTTTCACCGACCTCGATGTTAGACTTTTCATCAGGAGAACTCTAGTATGAACCATCCCAATCGTAGTAAAAACCAATAAAATACACTTCAGTGTTTAGCTTGACACGTACTATTAAAAAAATGGCAATTTGGTCACTTCACCTGCAGTAATACCAAATATTTTGATACAGAATATTGAAACAATGCAGTCCTGATATAATCAGCAATACGTTCCCCTCAATGTCACAAGTGATACCCAGAGAAACAATCTGCACTTACTCCCGGGCAGTATCTACCCCAAGTCCTCTCAGTAAGCAGCAGCTCAGTATGGAAAGTCTTAATCCTGCAACGCTTGCGTATGTGTTCCTATTGAACTTGGTCACTGCTATTAATAAACTTCACGTGAGTCCTCAAAGGTAAATGCTTGAAATGTTAAGACTAAATCAAAAACCCCAACTCTGGTCTAGATAGATGGGTGAAGTAGAAAAAGATCTGTGTTCTGAAAGTATATCAAATACGGAGTTTTAGAGATATACAGCATATTGTTACAATGTACCATTTCTTTGAACGGCAGTTTCTATTTCGAAGTTACTTAAATAAACGCCAGAACATTGCATCCTGTGTGTAAAGAGGTACCTTAACACAGCAACAGGAAAGGGTTATGAGAAAAACGCTCTGAACTTGCAGTATTGCTATTCTACACTGTCACTCTGTGGTGGTTTAGCCACATTTAAAACAAGCTTTAAACGTTTCCGGGAGTGCTATCAAAACTGGTAAACATCACGAGTACGCATGGAAGTAGCTTACCTCTGCTACTTGAAGAAGACGACCTTGATGATGAGCGTGATGAGGAGGAAGAAGTGGATGTAGTGCTAGAAGACGATGTGGATGAAATGGATGATGATCTGCTTCTACTGCGTTTTCGCTTCCTTTTTTCTTTTCCTTAGGATAATACAAGGCAACAGTGACAAGCACGCTAGTAACTATGGTCTACAAAAATGACTCTTCACAGAACTTAAACACAATGAAACTCTATTTTGAAGGGTTGGTTGTGTTTTTTTCCCCGCTTCCAGCATGGTATGGTCTATTACCGTTAGCAAGCGACAACGCTCCGTCTCAGGGTCAAACACAAAGGATAACACATGTAACACCACGGCATGGAAACGGATTAGCAATGCCTACCTTGGACTTTCAGCCCTTCTTGTGAAGTTGCACACAGTGTCCTATTTTTTTCCTCCTTCCTGTGATCCATATCTAGTGAGAGACAAAAGGACACTCAATAGCATCATCTCCCAAAGACCCTGGGAGAGCAGAACAAGAGCGGTGCAGAGGCAGAGGAGAGCAGCGAGGGCTTCCAAGGGCAGCCCCGCCACCACTCCTCTATCACGCCATGGCGAGGCGCACGTTTAGCCTCTCATCCTCTCGCATCGGGAACCGGAGGCCAACCCCCTGTTTTCGTGTCATCTCCGATGAAGGCACCCTTAGTGCAGCGGCCTTTTTTTTTGCCGCCGCAGCTACGTTCCGGGTTACCGGTGGATCCCAGGACCCCGCCCAGTGCGGCCGAGGAGGCAGCCCCGGGGGCTGGGCGCAGCCCGCAGCCGCCGGGGGAGCCCCGAGCCCG